TCCGCTCCCGGGGCGGCTCGGGGGGGCGGCTTCTCCGGGCGGTGAGCTATCTACGCGGCGTTCCCCCGCTGCCGGCCGCTGATAGTGACGAAACAAGACGCAAGGAGCGGGGAGAGCACGTTGTTAACACAAGGGATCCCTCCTGCTGGCGCTACTCGGGGAGATAAGGAGGGAGCGGAGCTGGCGCTGACGTTATCTCCAGTGGCCGTCTGAACTGATACTGCACAAAAATGAAGGGGAAGAATGTCCACAGCGTCCAGCCTAATTACAGCGGGCTGGCAGCGTATTCCTGCGGAGAGCTCAAGGAGGGGGACCGTCAGCGCGCAGGGGTTTTTTTTTTTCAGTTCTCTGGAAGCCATTCCAGATAGAGATTTATCCTTTAATAAAGGAAAACAAAAGCTGAACTTCTGGAGGAGAAGGCAGCACCTCACCGGCTATTGCCAAGTACCGGAGTGACCCAGCCCTACAAATACAGGGGCAAACCCGACTGCTTCCTCCCTCCTCCATCACCTCGGTTCCACCGAACAATCACCTGGCATTTACATCCCGAGGCCCTACCTATTCTATAGTCACCCAAACGATTTAAAATTAGAATAAAAATCATAGAGAACGTATTGTGCTTGTACTTTCCAAGACAAAGAGCATGCTTCATTTTCATTAATCCATTAAAAGTAATTTATGCAGCTGACATTTAAATTATAATGATTCAGATGATTAATACATACAGAAAAGTTCTGTTTGTGTGCTTTATCACAGGCTTAAGGAAAAAAACGGCTCCAGGCCTGGCCCTGTGACAGACCGAGCACTCCCACCTTCCACTGACGGCAGCGGAGCTGTGCGTGCTCACTCCCTCTCGGTTACAGTAACTTGTCAAGCACAGAAAATATAGATGTGTGTGTAAATGTATGCATTCCACAGCATAATCTTTTATCTGATCTTTCAAAATCTGGGACAGGTTTGAAGAGGAAAAGGTGAAAATTATCAGGCATTTTTTCATTCTTGCCTGCTGCTAAGTCTTTTTTATGTGTATGACAGTAAGGTAGCAGCATCACCAGCTCCATAATCCTGCCAATGTGCCTTGTGCTTGGGGATAAATCAGCACTCTATGCCCACTCATCCCTTACCCTTCCCTTCATAAGTAGCGGGAGCGCAGTAAAAATGCAAATAGGGAAGCTTCTGTCCTCTGTGAAACTGTGTGGCAGCTATTGAGAATGGGCACCATTCAGGGCGCCGGACGGTGACGGTCCTGTGCTAACCCGGCCTGCATTTTGGAGGAATGTCAAAGAATTTTTCTGTAACATCGCTGGCCTCTGGAGCAATCCGTGTCTTTGCATATGGGAAAGAAACATTTCTGTCATTGTTTAATAGTACTTTGTAGTAAATAATAGGTAGCACCCTGGTGAAATAATTAGCTTTTACTGTCAAAGCCGACAGAAATTTTGATGTTTTGTTTACTTCTCTAGCCAGATGTTTTTATGAAAGCGCTTGATAAACTATGACTGTAAAGTCAAAAGCATTTCTCCTTCCTGTTCCCTACATTAACTTCACTATAAATGATACTCAATAGAGGGATCTATCTTTTATGGTGACTTGACCCTAATTAGCATGAATGTTTTCGATGAATGACATTTGTAAGTATTCCAGCTATATGCAGACTTATCATCATGACTGATTGCCCAAGCAATTTCTGCAACAATAAACTTTCATTACAGAATCTTTGATAAAAATCACAATTCTCTGGTAAGCTAATAATTTATGCAAATTAAATGCATATTTATTTACCAGCTTTATACACTGTATCTGGCAAACAGGATAAGGAAGTTCTGTGTTATATCTCTGAATACAGGTCTTGCAAGTAACTAAACCTTTAAGCAGCCTTACAGGAAAATTCAGGAAATACAGTGTCTGCCTTGTTAGTAGATACCCTGCAGAAGTATAGCAGTGAGTCCTACCAGAGATCACGGCAATAACCACACTGTTTTCACAGGCAATGCGAACAGCAGCATCACAGTCAGGAAAGCAGCATTACTTTCAAATCTACCGCATACTTGAAGACCACACTGATTACAAAGGTAAATCTATTTATAATGGGTCAGAAGAGTGATTAATTGTCAGCAACAGGATATATCCGAAGCCATGCTACTTTGTTGATGAGAACCGAGCACTGCCAGGCAAAATACCAGGCATTCATTTCAGGCCCAGGATGAGAGATCTAAAATTTTAAGTTTGATCTTCACCCAGTGCTATTCCCTCTCTTCTTTGTCATTCACCCTCAGGCAATGGGTCATTCCCAGGTGAAAAGCAATTGTTTCTCAGAGGGACTTCTTTCTTTGGAAGAGCAATGACAGAAGTTTCCAGCTAAACAGAAACAAAAGGCTTGTGCAACGTGCCAAAGACCAGATCATGATAAAGCAGAAGATGCTCCATTTTGTCAAGAAGTGAAAGTTATCATCAGCCTTCAGCTACAGCTCAGCATGCTTTCCATACCATGTATTATGGAGAAAGGGTAGCTAAAAGTCTGGTGTTATCTTCATTGAACCCCTGGCAGAGCTGATCCTGCCTAGACTGCAAAAGACTAGCAGTTTTGCCTGATCTGGCCCTAAAAGCACCCTACATTTCAGCCTTACACTCGAGAAGGAGGAGAGAGAAAACACAAGTGTGAGCTAGAGGGAAGATGGCAATATCATCACAACACACAATGAATGCAACTTTTTTCTACTTAGATATGACACGCTAGCGTCTAAAAAGCATGGGTAGGCCCCCAACTGGATAGTGCTTACGATATCATAAGTACTATTAGTAGTAACAGCTATCCACAAGGAGTCAACAACAGTATGTGCTTCACCACACAGAGCAGCTTCGAGTTCCGTGCAGTGTGGACTCTTGTATTTATTGCTCTGGCTAAACCAATTCTGCGCTCACTTCCAAACTGCTGCTGAACTGCATATATTTTGTTGCCCTTCATTTGAGCAGGTGTTATTAAAAGCCCGAGCACTAACCACCATGCTTACTGCGTTATGCCGAAGGGGTGTTGGTCACAGGCCTCCTCGCATCCTTGTCCTCAGAGGCAGCATGCAGCCCAGCCCAGTGTTCTGGAAGGACAGGAATCACCACTGAGCAACTTCAGTTCAGCTTTCATAAACCTTTGGGTTAATTAATAGTTAGTCAATGGTGGTTAGAAAACAGCATCTGGCTTATTTTGAGGACCTGGACTGGTAACTCTTGTCCTGGATATGTCCAGCTGAATAACTTCCATATCCCTCTTCTACTGCCTTCCAATGACCTCAAAATGAAAAACTTTTCCTTCAGTGCTTTCACAGAGTCAGAGCTTGAACTGCTGCCTTTGCAACAGGTTCTGCGTTTCACACCACTAATAGATGCACTTTGTTAACGTTGATGTCATTTGTACACACGAGACCAAATTTGGGCTGCTCAAAATGTGGTATGTGCGTTAGCAAAACATAGGCACGTTAGGAAAACAACATGAAAAGGGAAATACTGGGCAGAGGTTCTAATGCTAATTACAACTATCCAAATAACCTGCTCAAAGGCTTTGCTGCTGCAAAGCCAATGTTCCCAATGTTTTTTCAGGTACAGCCTTGTCCAGTAAGAATAGCTCTACAGCTGACTCCCACACAGGGACAGTC